AGTCACCACTGAAGACACCACTGATATATGGCATCAAAGATATGGCCATTTGAACAACAAAAGCATGAGAACCTTGTAATATAAACAACTTGTAAAAAGGCTGCCACAACTCAAAGCTGCGAATAAAGTGTGTACTATATGCAACATTGGAAAGCAATATCGTACGGCTATGCTAAAGAAAAGTCAGTGTAGAGCCTCACAAAGGCTGCAATTGATACATGCTGATATTTGCGATCCCATCACACCGATGTCAAACAGCAACAAGAGGTATCTCTTGAGCTTTATTGATGATTATAGTAGGAAGAATTAGGTTTACTATTTGACTGAAAAGATGAAGCATTTACATCATTTAAGAATTTTAAAAGTCTTGTTGAGAAGGAAGTAGGAAGTGGAATATGTTGCTTAAGAATTGATCGAGGCGGTGAATTCACTTTGTGTGAGTTTAACAATTTTTGTAAGGATGGTGGCATTAAGAAGTAGCTTACGGCAGCGTACACCCCTCAGCAGAATGGGGTTGCAGAACGTAGGAATCGAACTATCATGAATATGGTTCGATGCTTACTTGTAGAGAAGGAAATACCCAAAGTATTATGGCCAAAAGCAGTTCGGTGGACAGTACACGTATTAAACAGGAGCCCTACTATGGTGGTGAAAGATAAGACCCCAGAAGAATGTTGGAGTGTAATCAAGCCAACTGTTGATTATTTTCGAGTTTTTGGTTGCATCGGTCATGTTCACATATCAGATAATAAGATATCAAAGCTGGATGACATGAGTTATAAATGTGTACTTCTCGGATACAGCGACAAGTCTAAAGCGTATAGGCTCTTTGATCCCATTGCCAAGAAAATTGTAACCAACAGAGACGTGGTTTTTGAAGAAAATGAGAGTTGGAACTGGGGGAACAGTGACGTAGAGGTGAAGCTTGATGTACTTGATTGGGGAGATAGTGAATATAAAGAAGGTGAGCATGAGTTCAGTGGTCTTGATGAGAATGAAGAAGGTACAGAAAAAGAGGGTAACCAAGATAATCCACCCGCTCAAACCGACTTGAATGAAGGCAGCGAACAAGGTTCTTCTGAAGATAATTCTAGTTCATCTGAAGATAACTCTTTGAGTTCACATGGAGAAAGAGTTAGAAGAGTTCCCATGTGGATGCAAGATTATGTAAGCGGGGAAAATCTGTCTGAAGAAGAAAATTTGCAGAACCTCGCTTTATTATTTCACAAGAAGATCCAACATGCTATGAAGAGGCTGTGAAGAGTGAGAAGTGGAGGAATGCGATGGATTGGGAGATAAAAGCTATTGTGAAAAATGAAACCCGGGAGTTGGTGGATCTGCCGGCTGGAGCAAATATAAAACCAAGCTAAACGAGAATGGGGAGATCGATAAGTGCAAAGCTTGCTTGGTAGCAAAAGGATATGCTCAGAAACATGGGATAGACTATAACGAGGTGTTTGCTCCAGTGGCTCGGTGGGATACAATTCGAATAGTCTTGGCCTTAGCTGCTCAAAAGGGTTAGTTTGTGTTTCAACTCGATGTTAAAAGTCCCTTTTTGCATGGGGAACTAAAGGAAGCTATGTTCATTGAACAACCGCAATGTTATGAACAAAAAAATAAAGAGAAGGTTTACAAACTCAAGAAGGCTTTATATGGGCTAAAGCAGGCTCTAAGGGCCTGGTATAGTAAGATTGAGGGTTTTTTTCTTCAAGAAGGTTTTGAAAGATGCAGTCATGAGCCCACTTTGTTTATCAAAACAGAAGCTGGAGGAAAGATCTTAATTGTAAGTCTTTATGTTGATTACTTAATCTTTACTGGTAATGATGCCTATTTAATTGAGAAGTTTAAATGTTCAATGAAGTCTGAGTTTGAGATGACAGAAATATTTCCTAGGTATTGAAGTCCGGCAAAGTTCGAAGGGTATTCATTTGTGTCAGAAGAAATATACCAGAGAAATTATTGATAGATTTGGTATGGGAGATTGCAATGCATTACAGAATCCCATGGTACCAGGTTCGAAGTTGACAAGAGAAGGTGAAGGGAAGAAGGTCGATGCAACTCAGTTCAAACAGATGATTGGTAGTCTTATGTATTTGACGGCTACCAGACCTGACTTGATGTATAGTGTGTGTCTTGTTAGCAAATATATGGCTAGACCAGTTGAAGAACACTTGCTTGTTGCTAAAAGGGTGCTTTGATATCTAAAGGGAACTTTGGAGCTTGGGGTGTTCTATGAAAGAGAAGGTGCTATGGACCTGATTGCATATACGGATAGCGATTATGTCGGTGACTATGATGATAGGAAAAGTACATCGGGTTATGTGTTCATGTTGAGTACAGGAGTTGTCGCTTGGTCTTCGAAGAAGCAGCATGTTGTAACTCTCTCTACATAGAGGCAGAATATGTTGCTGCAGTGGCTTGTGCGTGTCAGAGTTTGGTTGAAGAGAGTGCTCAATCAATTTAGTCCTTTTCAAAGTAAGTGTTTTACTATGTTTTGTGATAACTCATCTACTATTAAGTTGTCAAAAATCCCAGTTTTACATCGAAGAAGCAAGCATATAGATATGAGGTTTCACTTTCTACGTGATCTCACAAAGGATGGTGTTGTTGAATTGAAATATTATGGTACGAGTGAGCAGCTTGCAGATATTATGACCAAACCTTTAAAGTTGGAGAGCTTTGTGAAACTTCGAGAGCTGCTGGGAATGAGGCTATTGAATGAAGTAAACTGATTGATATTGTCCATTCCAGTTTAGGGGAGGAAATGTTAAGCGTTTGTGAAGTCAGTTTTAATAACTCCTATCGTTTAGAAGCTCGTTTTGTGTTCTATTAGTATTTGACTATTTCCAGCCACTTACCACGATCTTAAGTCTGGTAAATCATGTGACTATTTTTATGTTTTTTCTGTTTTGTAATGACTTTATAAGCCAAGTTCCCTTTTGTTATTTAATATAATCATGCTTCAGAAAGCTATTTTGCTGTGAGTCCGGTTATCTTTACATACATTTCATCAATTTTTATTAAAATCTACTAAAAATTTGATTTTAACCCCACCAAACATGATCTTAAATTTTAAGAATATGTTCGATGCAATTTTTTTTATAATAAATTTTGTGAAAAGTACTTTTCTTTAATGGCTGATTTGTGTACAGGTCCAAATCGCCACGTACACTTAGCGTTATCCTTAATTTTTTGAAAAAAATGGATAAAAATGATAGGTAGTGTGTGGTGTGTAGTCTATACTTCATTTTTGAAAGAATAAACTTAAATTCTTATTTTTGAAATGGTAAGTTATAAATAGGGGGTTGATGAAATTTCCTCAATAAAAAAAAGAAGTTATAAACTGAATTGGATTGGGGCTGGACCTAGTTCCTCTTGCATCCCTCACTGATTGGAAGGCATTCGATATTGAAACAAAAAACACTAATCCACCAATAAATATTAATCTCTCGTGTAAGTTCCAAAGTTATAAATGCAATCGGTGAACTTCTAAAAAGCTTGCGTGTTTTTGAGTTACCCTAATTTGCGTTGTCATGTTTTAAAAAGTTGACTTAAGCAAAGATATTACCACCTATCTCGAGTGGCCAACCTCCTTGACGTCTTTTGTTTTGTAAATCTTAGATGTGTCGGTATTCTTCATTGATAGAAAAATAAGGATCATTCAACAATTACAAAGATACGTGGCATCAAAATACAGAAAGGAAACAAAACCAAAAAATGTTCGTCCCATTGATTGGGCACGGAGTCCGCCAATTGCTTGGCTAATCTCCGTCGAAGCACCATTCAACATGCAAAACCAGATTATTGCACAAGCAATCGAGAATAAAAGGTTTGATTTCTTTAGACTTCGAGTGAATAATGTTAAATTTTTCTAGATATAATCTCATAACACCATTATTTTATTTTTTAAATTCAAATCATATTTAAAAAGAAATAAAAAATTAAATGGAGAGATAAAATGGAAATTTTAATCATCTCCCGCCTCCTGAAAATTCGTAATGAGACAAAGATGATACTGATCGTCCCAATCTGTATGTAATAATTTAAAATACATTGCACCTCTAATACTATTCAGATGCAATGAACTACTGAAGCGTGGAAGGTTTCGCATTTCCATTAAACGCCTAATATTCCAAAATGAAATTTCCATCTCGCGTGGAAATGCGTTGTGATCTTAGATTTTTCGAACATCATCTTCAATATATTCTATTTTTAAAGAGCACCGATGAATTCAGAGAGTAAAACTTTTTAAGCACTTCAACGTACTCTTTATCTTTAACATTTAATTTTAATGAGTTTTTCTTTACCATATCTCATTTTCCTACCGTATTTGCTTGATACTACGTTATAACCACTCAAATTTTTGTCACAAATGGATATGGGAACGATATAAACCTTCACTATCTGCAGAGACTACAATGCCAAATGTGAACAGCCTAATACTGAACGCTTGTTGTGTCAACAGCAGCTTAGATTCTACCGTTATTGATTTAGAACGATATTAAATATACACTTAAAGTTTGACATGATTTTTGACATTTTAATATTTAAAAAAAAAAAGTTTATGGGGAACTGGGGATATTTGTTTTTTAAAAACTATCCAACTTAATATCGTCACGATCACGATCACGTTCACATTCCGTCACGTGAGACGATGTAAAGAATATTGAAAAAAAGAGTGTGTGTACCATGATTGATTTATGATTAATGATATTCATAGTCGCTAAATGTAGCAGTCGTTTTATGTGGCACACACATGACATATAGTTATTTGATACATTAATGTGGTAGTTTTTACCATATTAATGCATTAAATACACACTTGACATGTGTGTGCAACATAAGACGACTGCTGCAGTGAGTGACTGTCAATAGCATTGTTCTTGATTTATTTATTTAAGACAGAAATCCAGCAATTCTGAGAAGTTCCAAAATTTTCTTACACAAATTATTAACGATTGGAAAAACGGTTGCCAGAGAAGAAAAGCGCATTTCAAGCCATGAAAGGGCAAAAGGTTCGCCGGGGAAGACTCGAATCTAAACAACCGATGTCGGTGACTTTGCAGGATGAACTTGGCTCATCTGAGTGTTGCGGCAGTGTGCCGACGGAGGAAACTGGTGGCTGCAGCAGGGAGGAAAAGTCGGAGGATCTGAGGTTCGGGCACATATCAATGATGGGGAGGAGCAGAGTAATGGAGGATGCAGTTTCAGTGGCGCCGCCTGGAAAGGTGGGAGGAGAGTATGCTTTTTTCGCGGTGTACAATGGCCACGGTGGTTATAGGGCAGCGGAGATATGCAGTGAGAGGATGCATAAGTATCTTGACAGGCACGTAGAAAGGGCAAAAAAGTCACTGAAGGAAAAAAATTTGAATTGGGAGGTAGTGATGGTGGGATGCTTCAGAAGTATGGATGAAATATTGAGGAAGGGTAATGATGAGGTGATGGAGGGTGCTTCGACGGTGTCGGGTACGATAGTAGGGTCGACGGCGCTGGTGGTTCTGGTGGGGCCGGAGGTGGTGGTCGCGAATTGTGGGGATTCTAGAGCGGTTATTTGCTCCGGTGGCGTTGCTGTGCCATTATCAAGTGATCATAAGGTGACATGTCCTTTTTTTTTTTTTCCATAAAATATGTCATTTATAGTTTATAACAAGGTTTTGTTTGTCCATATATGCCCTGTTTATAATAGGCATTAGGCTCTATTATGTTAAGAAACGAAAAAAGTCACAATTTTGTCTAGTATATTGTCCGGTACAAATAATGTTAGAATTGCATGAACTCAACTCACCGTTTAATGCATACTTTCATGTAGGGTATCCTGAACAAAATTTCAACTCGTTTTCTTAATTAAGAAGGTTCAATGCAACATACTAAACATAGTGTGTATCTATCAAAACTTGAAGTAAATTTCCAGATACCATATTGCAATGTGCTTGTAAGCCACTTCTCTTATAAAATTCGGTTTTGTTTAATATGTTATTGTGTAATTACATGTTTGGTACGTAATCTTAGAACACACTCAAATGTAAAACAGACAAGAATCTTGCATTCAAGAATTTAATTCACTTTAGCAATATGCCATGAGGTTGTTTTATGAATGCACGTTTCTGTTTTTTTAATCTCGTCCTATCTTGTCTAATGATCAAGTTTTGCTTTGCTGATATAACTATATATACTTGTGTTGTATGTATAACTTCAATATTATTCATCATCTCATGCCCTTTGTCTTTGACCTCAAACAAAGCCTGACAGACCTGATGAAAAGGAGAGGGTTGAAGCTGCAGGGGGAAATATCATAGATTGGAACGATTGGCGACTCGAAGGAGTGCTTGCTACTTCAAGATGCTTAGGTTACATTTATGCTTCTTTTCTGGCAAACTAATTAACTTCTCAAATCATATAATTGATTGCAAGTTAATTTTAGTTAATATGTTTGCTTTATGTTGATCCCTAGTTAACCTAATTTTTATTCGGCCTTAGCCCCTGTTTGACAATTATTAAAATAAAACTCTTTTTTTAAAACTAATTTACTATCACACATTCTTACAATAAAATATTCTACACGTGAACCCAAATTTTTTTCCTATTTTTTGACTGCACATTCACTAAAAAATTACTATTCCAAAACTCATTTCACCGCCAAAAAAACTCATTTTAATGGAGCAAATCGAACTTCCTTTTTCTGTTTTTTGGGAACACAATTGTGTGCATGCACTTACGTTATTGTATAACACATGAATGAATCACTTAAAAGATAATTGCCATTTGGAAGTTAAATAGTATCCTAAGACTAAATAAGTTAATAGTAACATATTGTTCCGATTTATGTTTAGTAAACTGCCTTTTGTTATGGATCTTATGAAGGTTTGATTGGTACATAAAAGACTGATTTTCTGCAAAATGATTCATAGACTAGGTTATTCTTAACAAGTTCATTAGTTTAACCATTGCATTCGGCTTTGGAAGTTTCGACTTGTCAACTGTAATTTTAGCTTCTATGATACTGCTACTGGTAGACCACCAGACAAGGGACACAAGGACATAAAATATGGGAAGCCTATTGATTTGTGTGGACCTTGAATAATACGTTAGCCTGCTTCACGTTCTTCAAACTATTGTACTGACAGGTAACCATCGTCTGAAGCCCTATGTAATCCCGGATCCAGAGGTCAGTATGTACAAGAGAAAAGAGTCGGACGACTTCCTTATAGTGGCAACAGACGGTCTGTGGAATGTAGTCTCTAACGATATTGCGTGTGACATTGTAAGAAGATGCCTTCACGACCAAACTTCAAGGCCACTTCAGGGAGGAAGTGGTGCGGACGTGGCAGCATCAATGCTAGCCGAGTTGGCCATTGCTAAGGGAAGCAAAGACAATATCAGTATTATAGTCGTCCAGCTGGACTGAATCGACCAGGCCGTGTCTACTTTTGTGTTTTTACGTTTCTTTTCAGGTTTGGAGTCGTATTGCATGTGAGCGTTAGAGGTCAAATGTATAGGTGATACTTCTACTTAAACTAGATATTTCCCTTAAGAGGTTTCTTGGTGCAATATAGGTTTGGAGGTGTCGGCCAACCGTACAGGAATCAGTTAGAGATTTCTTGTTTGTGATGCTAATAGTTTGTCGATGTTTGAGATCTTGACGTTTATGCAGGCTCTAGTTTCTCTGACTTTGTAGAATCATGCAATGCAAACTATGAAACTAATTATACAAGCTTAAAAACGAGTTTGGAGTTGTTCTCTGGATGCCGGTTTGCCTAGGTTCAGACAATTGTAGACTACAGTCATAACTCGAAAAATATAGCGACTACACAGTCACGAGATGAGATATCTGTAGCAGGCACTGAATTGGCCGAGCCTCGAAGAGTTGCTGCTCAGTGCTCACTGCTCCTAGATGAAACCATTAATGGATTGAAGGTGTGTTTCTTTGAGGAGAGGCATGATTTTGTTTCATTAGGAGTGAGATTTAGTGTGAAAAGCTTTAATGCTATTGTACATTTCTTGAAATGAGTGTCTAAGTTTCCAACTAAAGTCATCTGTCTTCCATAGTTAAAAGTTAAATACCAGAAAAAAAAAACGTTAAGCATGTAGGACATGTTCTGTAAGGTAGACTAAACTTGTTCTGCGACCTCTTATCTCCAATCCTCAACTAAACTTGCATTCCTGAGGCTTCTGTCTTTCACCTATTGTATCTCTATATTGGTTAGCTTCATCTCAAACCACGGAGGCATTTTGATAATTGGGATGCAGCTTTTGAAGGAAGGTCTTCAACTCTTCAACTACAAAAGCTAGTAGACTACGACTATAAGATAAATGGGAAGCAAAACAAGTTACTCAATTACGAACCACGAGAACAACCAAAATAATTATATTAAAAGAGAATGCAAATTTTCACTCTAATGTGGACAGAAACACTAAGAGAACATAAATTTTCAGTAAAGAACATTACAAATGCCACCAAATAACGCAAATTTTGCATAACTTATATCCATATTGCAAAAGAGAAATGTTGTAAAGCTTACAACATCACAACACAAAAGGAGGGAATGCAAGGAAAGAAAAAGACTTCTAAATTCTGCAGAGAAGTTTATCTTCTTACTTCTCATTCTCATTTTCTGTCTCTCAATCTATCTGTTTCTAATGAAGTGGAGAAGAAAGAGGATGAGCACCCCTTTTATATTGTCCCTTCACTCCTTTCTTCATCCAATATTCGACCTTCTGTAATTAACTGGCAATTGAAACTTACGCCAAGTTAATAAAAACACGAGACTCAAGATTAAATCTTGTATAACTGCACAATTGTTGCACTACTAATTCATATAAGCTGTGTGAACTTCTTTATGTTGCATGGCTTGTTTTCCTTATCTTAGACGAGAGTGTAGCTTGAGACCGAGACCTCTGCTGGAGAAGCAGGGTGAATATAAACGAACTCAATGCTTTTTCCTGCAGGCAACGAATCGATCCATGCTGGAAATGTGTAAGAATCACTGGACTTTGTGAGACCCCAGATAGGACCATAGAGCTTGGAAATCGAAAGCTGCAAATTTTTCAAGGTCTTGATAGATTTGTTGGTTACTATGGTGGAGTATCTGTAGTAAGTTTTTCCTTTCGAAACCCATGAAGTTGTCTCCTTCTGTGCAATATCAATAGGACTGGCAGATGAAGCTGCAAAACAGGTATTTTTCACATTAGTTGTATCCTCACAAAAATTTCTAAGAGCTACGTCCACTTGCTAGTTGCTGTGGCAGGTTTTCACTATAATGGAGAAGTGTGCAAGGTTCTCCTCACGGCTCTTACACCCCAAAACTGACCCCCATACCCTTTATATAATAGGAATATTATTATTAGGTCAATCCAGCTCCCCACTGTCTTGTATTCCAATCCAACGAATGAAAGTTTAAATGAACCACCTTCATGAAGCAGCAGAATGTTACCTGGTGCTGGAGTTACTTCAGGTTTTGGGGCTGCTTTTGGCTGAGTATTAACCGGTTTAAGTGCAGGAAGTTCAACTGAAATAGTCAATGCAAATTATTCAAATCTTGTGAGCAAACACTAGATAAAACTTCAAATTTGCAAGAACCGAAGTCATTGAACTAAACAACATGCCTGGAAGGAGCTGGTTGTATCCGTCGTGACCACTATGTAGCCTTGCTAATAAGCCCAGAAGTGGGGCATTGTTGTAGGTAGCAGGCTCAGTTTGCTCGTAGTTGTCTCTTTGATCAGCAAAGTTGTCATAAGCATCAGGTCCTCCAACAAGTGCGCCAGTAAGTAGATTTGGGTCGCTTCCCTTCCTGCTGAACCAAGTGGCATAACCTCCCCGGCAACTAACAAATGAAGGATCTTTCTTAAACGAGACAATAGAGGAACCTCTGTGGTGAACTTGTTGTGGGTAGTTGTTTCCATATCCCACCATGTAACTTGTGGCTCTTGGATTGTCTCCAAGAATGTAATCAACCTTACATGATCAAAGAACAAGAATTAGATTATTTCCCCTTGTTAATTCAATTTCATGATTATTAGTCATACTCCTCAATGGAAAATTCGCCTAGGGGATAAATGAAAATGATAATTAGGCTCTACACAGGCGGACAACCAAGTTCAACACCGGAATCGAAAGGCAAAATTTCTCACAATAAGGTGGTACGAACTTGGTTGTTGACAGGTGTCCTGTGTTCAACAATAGAGACTAATACGAATAGAATAGTCAATTTTGAGGACAAAGGCTTTATCAAGGGAGAGAACCTCGATGTTTGCAATCTATTGCCTGAACTATATACTCCTTCCAAGGTGGGGGGAGAGATTTCTTGGTTGTGCGCTGTGCACCTCATTCGTGAAGAGAATCAAAATCAACGAAGGCATTTTTCGTGTTTTGTCCCATATATACTTAGGTGCTCTATATTAAAGAGTTACTCGTATTCAGAAGAGAGTTGCACCTGAGATTTAGCAAATGCGAGAAGTTCAGAGGGTGGAACATAGCCAGAAGAACACTTCAGGGACTTGCCGGCGGAGGATAGATAATCAGAGTAGACAGTAAGAAGGAACGAAGCACTTGTTACAAACTGCATGTTGTTCCACCTCTGACGGAAAATGAGTCCTCCCGGAGTCTTTTGAACGTTGGCGGAGCCCTTTCCAAGGCATGAGCACATGAAGTGCTCGGCTTTTTGCTGGTACTCTTCAAACACTGGTGTGTAATGTCCACCTTTTCCTTGCATTAGGAACTGCAAGAAGATGAAATTGGGATTAGTTACTAGAGAAGCCCAATCAAGAGCCATATATAGATATAGACCATTGCACCAACATAGTGAACCCACTAAAGGATATTTTAGTTTCGTGTTGTTAAACCACCTTGTCTGAAAGGCGATAAGACTCGAATTTAGTATATTTGACTACTTTGATACCTAATATCACGTTGCTTTTTAAAAAATATTGTTTAGTGAAAAAAGTATGTTTGACAAATTAAGTAATATTAAACGTAAATTTGCCAAATACGAGTATATTTGGAATAAATTTACCTTGGCAACTAATGTCTGAACACCAGCATACTTCACATCCCAACCAAACTCAGTCATTGCCCAACCAGTTCCTCCCAGTGCATCGCCATTGTTCCCTAAGTAGTTCAAGTAGCGCTCATTGTTTGATGCCTTGTACAACCACGCAGCTGCCCACAGCAATTCATCCTATGCCCAGAAATGAATAAATAATAAAAATTAGGAACAATATTTTAATGATAAATGAAATTATGTATATATAATTAGTAAATTTTCACTATTGGTCTGCGATGTATTGGTATAGTAGCAAGTTGGTCTCCAACCTCCAAAAACATGTCTAAATCTCTGTGGTGTCTCCTCATGTCCAATTTTATAAAGAAAGATTTTGCTTTTTAACTTGGGTCGAGCATAGACTTGAAGTGCAATATGTTTTCACGAGGGCCACAAAATATTTGATGAAAATTTGCAGCTTCCATCTTTACGTATTGAACTTAACTTAAGAGCCTGTTTGATTCTAATTAATTGAGAAAAAATAAGTTTTGAATAGTATTTTTATAAGGACTTGTGGTTAAAGAGTATAGAAATATTTTTGATATACGTATATAATATTTTATTGTGTGAAGTTGTGATTAAAAATGATCATATAGTAAATCATAAAATAAATTAATGGGGCCAAACGGGCCCTAAAGGTTGAGGACAGATCATTTATTCAACTTTTTCCGCATGTTTGGGAAACAAATCAATTTTGTAATTAAATTTTGAGTAATGCTATTCATCCTCACTGGGGATGAAAACACAGTCTAGATGGCTGTAAATGATAGGTGAAATGAATTATTTAATTTCACCTATCATTTAAACCTAAACTGTGTTTTCATCCCCACTGAGAATTTTAGTTGGAAGGGTGGTGCCGTGGTGGAATCACATACAGCATATCCACTGACAGATCGGTAGTACTTCTGTGCCAATGTAATGCTACTGTCATATTTGCCCCTGTATTTGTCCGCAAAGTCAAAAAGCTGAAACAAAAAATAATCACTTGTTAGAGCGCGGGGTAAAAATGAAAATAGATAAAATTGAAGGATAAAACAGGAATGTAAATAGCAATTTATAATTTTTGTAATGTAAAATTATTTATTTAGTGTTTGTTAGAGATAAAAATCAGATTTTAGCCGATTTTAATGAAATGTGATGTAGAAAAGTTATTAGTCCTATGAAATACAAGTTAAAATTAATAGTTGATTTTCACTTATATTTTAATCAGATTTTTTAACGTTTGGAAATTCAGGAGTTGCTTAAGGTTGCTAAATTGCGCCTTTTTTTCTTTTTAACATTCCGGCGATAGAGATTTGCTAATAAATGTTGTAGCAAAATGCTATTCTGCGCCGACAACCTACTCCCTGACAAAAAGTAAGTATTGTAA